CTACATTTATACCCCGCCCTTCACTTGCAGTCTCAGAGAGGCTTATAAAACAGCTTTCCCTTCCCCTCCCCACAACAGACACCCTGTGAGGGAGGCGGGGCTGAGAGAGCTCTTTCAAGGACTGCTCTTGAGAGAACAGCTCTTATCAGAACTATGGCTTGCCCAAGGTCATCCAGCAGCTGCGAGTGTAGGAGTGGGGGAATCAAAGCCGGTTCTCCCAGATTAGAGTCCGCTGCTCCTAACCACGACACCAGACTGGCCTTCCTCAGCTGCATATCTGCTCCTCTCCCTCTTGTCTGTCTCCTCCGTCTCAAGATCTGGGCTCTCTGGGCAGCTCCTGTCACTTTAACCTGTGGGAAAATCAACCTCGTTGCGCTGTTTTCAAAGAAATACATTTCTGAGCATCATCAAATCGTGCCTTGATTTAAATGTAACGTGAAATTTTAATCCCATCCCCTTGTCCTGTAATTATATCACTGTTTTAGTTTCTGTGCTAAAAGGCCTGCGGGCTCAGACAGACCAGACAAAGTGTCTCTCCCTGAAATGCCCTGCAGAAACGGAGGTCTCACCCTTCAACCTCATTTCCCCCCCCCTTTATATTCTAGAGGAGGGAAGCTGTTTTGGATAGCAGAACCAAGTGGAGGTTGAAGGGTTAAACACTTCTCCCTTCCTTGCCATGACCCTGAGCCAAATCAAGGCCACACAAGCCTGTGATGGGGGTTGTGAAGAGGGACCCAAGGTTTTTCTGTTGGAGTCCTGCGGTTCCAAAAAAGAATTTGGGCAGAAAATGAGTGGGGAGACCAAGGGGTGGACGGGCCTTTTACTGGAAAAAATTCCTGATGGTCCACTACCATGGGAGCACTGTTCCCTCTAAGCTGAGTTAGTGTGAGCTAGCTCACAGTTTTTTAGCCTCTTATCTTAGCTCAGGAAGGATGGCTCCATATCAAACTAATTTATGCAGTAGCCAAATTGCTCGCTCACAACTTTAATGCTAGTAGCTCACAAAGGGAATTTTTGCTCATGAGACTCCACGGCTTAGAGGGAACATTGCCTGGGAGTGCTGCTGATGTGAGAGCCAGTTTGGTGTAGTGGTTAAGTGTGCGGACTCTAATCTGGGAGAACCGGGTTTGAGTCCCCACTCCTCCACTTGCACCTGCTGATGTGACCTTGGGTCAGTCACAAGCTCTGTCAGAGCTGTCCTTGAAAAAGAGCAGTTTCTGTCAGAGTTCTCTCAGCCCCACCTGCCTCACAGGGTGTCTGTTGTGGGGAGGGGAAGGGAAAGGAGTTTGTAAGCCACTCTGAGACTCCAAGTGAAGGGCGGGGTATAAATCCAATCTCTTCCCTTCTTCTTCTTCTTCTTCTGGTGGCAAGCCTTATCGTCACCACGGCCTGGGTTCAAGCCGAGCAGACCTTCTCATTTGGAGATAGATCAAGATGGGTAGCCGTGTTCGTCTGTCTGTAGCAGTAGAAAAGAGACAGAGTCCAGGAGCACCATAAAAACTAACAACATTGGTGGCAGGGGAGGAGGAGGAGGAGGAGATTGGATTTATACCCCACCCTTTACTCAGAGTCTCAGAGCGGCTGACAAACTGCCTTCCCTTCCCCTCCCCACAACAGACGCCCTGTCAGGTACGCGGGGCTGAGAGAACTCTGACCGAAACTGCTCTTTTTCAAGAACAGCTCTGAGAGAACTATGGCTTGCCCAAGGTCATCCAGCAGCTGTGAGTGGAGGCGTGGGGAAACAAACCCGGTTCTCCCAGATTAGAGTCCACGCACTTTAGCCACTACACCAAACTTTTGTGAGTCTCTGCTCACCTCTTTAGATACAGCTAGAATGGGGGTTCATCTGTCCTTCTGTCATTCATAACTTTTTGTGATGCTATTAGGACTTATTCAAAATGTTCACAATATATCACTGTCAGCCTGTCTGGGCCTGGAGTCTTTTTTCATATTCTTTATTCCCTGGGAAATTTCTTGATTTGTTAACGTCTGATTTAAGATTTTCCTGTGTTCTGACATGGACTTTGTGGTTGGGATGTCTTTGGAATATCCTCTTATTCCTTTTTCTGAGGTAGGCTTCTTGTACAGTCCTGAGAACGCATTGATAAATTGTTCTTGTATTTCTTTTCCTGCATCTGTTATTCGATCCCCTTTCTTTACACCTGTTACGACTCTTTTTTTACGTCTCCTTCCTAAGACAATACGCCAAGTACCTGCTGGGTTTGAAATGCCTTTTGTTTTAGAAATTCTAATTTTTTTTTTCTGTACCCCTTCCACTTCGAACACGTCTAATTGGTTTTTTAGTTGTCTGATCTCGGCTAATGGGCCTTTATTGAGATATTATGCTCTTGTTCCAATCTCTGGATTCCCCCCCCCCCGCATGACGGAGTGAGCTCCCATCTCTAGTTCCAGCTCCTGCCAACCTAGCAGTTCGAAAGCAAGACATTTTGCAAGTAGATAAATAGGTACCACCTCGGTGGAAAGGTAACAGCGTTCCGTGCGCCTTGGTGTTTAGTCATGCCAGCCACATGACCACGGAAACGTCTTCGGACAGCGCTGGCTCTTCGGCCTTGAAACGGAGATGAGCACCGCAACCCTAGAGTCGGACTCGACTGGCTTTCGAGCAAGGGAAACCTTTACCTTTACCTATCATCTTGGCCGTTTTCACATCTTCACCCACACCTAACCCGTTCTCTCTCCTCTTTCTCACCTTTCCAGCACGGTGCCAACAACCTGTGGCCATCAGAGACCTCCAAAGTGCGCGCCTCCCGCATCCAGCACGACTCCCGGTTGGGCAACATCTCCTTGATCCCTTTGCGCGGCAGCGAGCACGAGATGAGGAACAGCGTCGCAGCCTTCACAACCGACCCGCTGATGGTGAGCACTGCTGCCTCCCCAGATCACGCCAGGCCCTCCTGTCTTCCGCCGTCCTCTGAAGTTTGCTCAGTTTCATGTTTGTTGCATCTATGACACTGTCCAACCATCTCATCCTTTGCCGTCTCCGTCTTCTTTGACCTTCAATCTTTCCCAGCATCAGGGTCTTCTTCTCCAGTGAGTGCTCCCTTCTCATTGGGTGGCCAAAGTATGTGAGCTTCAGTTTCATTATCCTTAACAGAGGTTTCTAATCTAGACTGAAGGCAGGGTATGTAGCATAGAAAGAGATTCTGCTTCTAACCAGTACTCACAGCCACTTAAGGCTATACACATACATTTTAAGTTAGTCCATGTACAACCATCTGACTGCGGTATTGAATACAAAGCATGACAAATACTACAAAATATTACAAAATGCATACGTGTCTATGAGAGAATAGGGCAAAAGGAGCCAGCCCCAGTGAAAAGCACTGAGACTTACTAGCGATTTCAGCTCTCATACTTTTATTTAGTTCGGAACAAGACAACTAGAACCGGCTCGCAGGCTGGTTTATATGTGCAACAATCACACACACAAAACACACCCACACACAAGTGATTGGTCATTACAGTGGCCGAGAGTTCCATGGACTCTTAGCTGGGAGCCTAGCCCTCCGATTGGAGCGGGCTAGGATCCGCTTGGCCCATTGTTCCTGAGAGCGAAGCTTGGCCGCTTCGCATGACCGTGTGGTGACCTAGCCACGCACGCGGTCGGAGATGGATACATTGCACCCAGTTTTAAGGCTATGCCCAGGGGTCATTTCCTGCAGGAGCGCACAGGAGCGGAGCTCCGGCAGTAAAGAGCCCAGGGGGCGGGCACATGCAACAAGCCCCGCCCCCTGCTCCCAGCAGCCCTCAGTCAGAGCAAGAAGCAGCCAGGTAAGCTGCAGAGCCCCCAGCCCCCTGGTCCAAAACAGTCCAGTGGCACCTTTAAGACCAGGTTTTATTAAAGCTCTCCCTCCTCTATGAGGACAGATCTGCACATTTCCCCCCCCCCCCAATAGCTGGCAATCCAAAACAGTCCAGTGGCCTTCTGACATGTTTCTGGTGATGTCAGGGGGTGTGGCATATGCAAATAAGTTATGCTAATGAGTTATGCTAATGAGCTCCTGCACCTCTTTTTCTACAAAATGACCCCTGGCTATGCCCATACTGTTCTTGCACACACGTGAAGCACAATCCATACATTTTAGGAATAATATATAGGAGTGCTGCACCTCAGAAAGAAAAGACCAATTTACTTCAAAGAAAAGACCTTTAATGATTTGTTATTCACTGGATAATTAAATATAGAAATAATGAACATTGATTTAGCACAACTACTAGAAATCTATTTGTTGAATATAATCCCAAATGGTATTGAGCAAAATGATATATATTTATTGACGTATATCTTTGCTTCAGCCAGATTATTACTAGCTAAATACTGGAAGTTAGAAAAACTACCTCTAAGAGAAGAAATAGTAAAGAAATTGTTAGAAAGTAGCAGAACTGGGTAAACTTAATACATTATTACTAGGTAAGGATGAAAAGATTTTCCAAAAGAGATGGTTGAGAGTGTATAAATGGTTAGAAGGAAAATGTCGTTAATGGACTCCTGAACTTGAAAAAATGTCAGATGTATGTAGTAAATCTATGCAACCTATACAGATAAAACAAGAAACAGAAAACTAAAAAAAAAGATTTGTTATTCACTGGATAATTAAAGAAGATATATTTTTCCCTGACAAGGTTTCGTTGTCGTATCACGGTTGTTTCTTCTCACAAAGTTCAGCCTGTCCCGTGGATCTCTCATCCTTGACTTTAACCACCTGCTTCTGTCTGACCCGTTGCTTTCCCCCCTCCAGCTGCTGCGGGACCTATGAAGCTGGAAGACTGACGCGTCAGGTAAGTGCGCCTTTCCGTGGGCCGGAGCTGATAACCGACTCGTCCGTGATCCCCAGGAGACCTGGGCCAAATGAGCCCTTGGCCTCCAGGGCCGACTCTCTCAGCAAGGGTGCCAGTCAGACGGCCGGGCTGTTCTGTTCTACTCTGACGGCCGGGCTGTTTACAGGCACAGCGCCCAGGTCTAGGTTTGCACCGCCGCGATGAGGCCCCAGGGTGTCCGAAAGACTGCGAACACCAGGGGTGTCAAACTCATTTGTTACAAGGGCTGGATCTGACATAAATGAGACCTCGTCGGGCCGGGCCACGTGTGTCATAAAATGACATGCCAGGTAGCGGAGATACAAACTTTATAAAGGACACAAACACCAAAAGATTTTTTTTTAACTTAAAATTAAAAAAAAACATGCTTAAAACATTAGCTCCAACAACAAGCACACAGGGAACAGGGCTAAGTTAGATAAACACAGAAAACACCGCGTTGAAATAATAAACACAATATTCACATGTACTTATAGCTAAATATATTTGTTTTTTATACACAAAATCAACTCTAGTGTGTTGTAAACACTTTCAAACCACAACATCACATTTCAAACACTTTCAAACTAAGTTATATAACACGAAGAGTCCAACTGTCTTCTTCCTGATGGAGGATAAATACCAATGTACAGTTATTTGTACCGAACAATGCAGCAACCTATTGTACAAGCTGCAAACCTACTTTTGATTTATTGACATTCGCCACAGAAGTCTCATGATTGGAGTTCTGAGTCTGGGACCCAGGTTGAAACACGAAACGGCTGAGCGATTGAGAGAGTCTGGCGAAGCAAGCTGTGATGCAGCAGCAGCAGCAGAACTGGAAGCAGGAGACGGCCAGTTCCACTGCGGGCCTGATGGAAGCCCTCCGGGGGCCTGATCCGGCCCCCGTGCCGCATGTTTGACACCCCTGGCCGACACCTTCTGGGAAGCAGCCCGTCTGCTGGGAAAGCCCTTGGCCAAATGCATACAGCCTCTAGATTGGGGTTTTAAGCCCAGTTTGGTGTAGTGGTTAAGTGCGCGGACTCTAATCTGGGAGAACCGGGTTTGATTCCGCACTCCTCCACTTGCACCTGCTGATGTGACCTTGGGCCAGTCACAAGCTCTGACACAGCTGTCCTTGAAAAAGAGCAGTTTGTATCAGAGCTCTCTCAGCCCCACCCACCTCACAAGGTGTCTGTTGTGGGGAGGGGAAGGGAAAGGAGTTTGCAAGCGGCTCTGAGACACCTTTGGGTAGTGAAGGGCGGGATATAAATCCAATCTCTTCTTCATCTCTTCTAATTAATTCCTTTATTAAAACTTTTACATCCTGCCTTTCCTTGCCGTTCAAGGGTTTGGGGCCTTCTCGGTGTATGGGGGGGGGGCACCACGTCTGTTATGATTTTCCTTCCCTAAAAGGCCCCATAAGACTCTCCCCATTTCCTGTTTCTTCTTCCCCCCCCCCAGCCACCCCCCTTCCAACCCCCCCCCCCCCCCCCGGCATCTTCTCCATCTGCATTTAGGCCCCCGGTGAAAATCCCCTGCTTCTGGTTAAGTGTCTGCCGCCTTGTTCTGAGTGTGGGTGTGTAATTATCCTTTGGGTGGTTCACTTCCCGCTCAGGTTCTGTTTTCCCCAACTTCATACTGCTAGAACATAAGAGAAGCCATGTTGGATTGGGCCAGTGGCTCATCCAGTCTAACACTCCGTGACAAAAACCCAGGTGCCATCAGGAGGTCCACCAGCGGGGCCAGAACTCCAGAAACCCTCCCCTGAGGTTGCCTCCTGGCACTGGGATCCAGAGGCTTAGTGCCTCTGAATGGGGAGGCTCTGTTTAATCACAATGGCTAGTAGCCACTGATAGACTCCTCCTCCGTGAATCGATCGAATCCCATTTTAAAGCTTTGAAGAGCCAGTTTGGTGTAGTGGTTAAGTGCGCGGACTCTAATATGGGAGAACCAGGTTTGATTCCCCACTCCTCCACATGCAGCCACCGGTGTGACCTTGGGTCAGTCACAAGTCCTCTCAGAGCTGTTCTCTCAGGAGCAGTCCTCGAAAGAGCTCTCTCAGCCCCACCTACCTCACAGGGTGTCTGTTGTGGGGAGGGGGAGGAGAAGGAGATTGTAAGCCGCTCTGAGACACCTTTGGGTAGTGAAGGGTGGGGTATAAATCCAATCTCTTCTTCTCCTTCTTTTACCTCACAGGGTGTCTGTTGTGGGGAGGGGAAGGGAAAGGAGATTGTAAGCCGCTCTGAGACACCTTTGGGTAGTGAAGGGTGGGGTATAAATCCAATCTCTTCTTCTTCTTCTTTTACCTCACAGGGTGTCTGTTGTGGGGAGGGGGAGGGAAAGGAGATTGTAAGCTGCTCTGGGACTCCTTTGGGTAGTGAAGGGCGGGGTATAAATCCAATCTCTTCTTCTTCTTTTACCTCACAGGGTGTCTGTTGTGGGGAGGGGAAGGGAAAGGTGTTTGTAAGCCGCTCTGAGACACCTTTGGGTAGTGAAGGGTGGGGTATAAATCCAATCTCCTCTCTTCTCTTCTTCTTATTCCTGTGGCCATCACTCCATCCTCTCGCAGCGAATCCCACATTTCCATCACTCATTGTGTAAAGAAGTATTTCGTTTGGTCTGTCCTGAACCTACTGCCCATTGGCCGGCCGCCAGCTTTAGTATTATGTGACAGGGCGAAGAAGACTTCTGTCTCCATGTTTTCCACCCCATCTGTAGGGGGTCATGGATTAATTTATGCATCTTTTATCTCTTTTGGGTACATTTTGCGTTCTTTCCCCTTTGTGTCTGCAGGTTTGTTGACGAGCGGAAGAATCCTGGACAATCTCTTTGGCATTTTCCTGGCTGGACCAGCAGGGAGGGGATGGAGGGAGGGGGGATACTGGGGACCAAAGGCTTTTTGGACTGCCCGTCTCTCCAAAAAGGCAAGTGGACACCCGTCAGAACCATCAAGGGAATGGGCGGAAAGCGTCGGAGGACTTCCTCACGAGGATGGACCAGATTTTTGAATAAAGCCGCCACCTGGAGTCACGCCTTCTAGGGAAGGGAGCCAAATTAAGGCCTGGACAGGGAGACATGTTGCCCGTCAGGACACGCCAACAGGACTGCCCGCCTGGCCCCTTCATCCACTCGTGTGGCCGGTCCCTGACCGCTTGCCTCCCTCTTGTGTACCTTGGATGGAAACTGGAAAGTGCGCCCGCTTGCTGAGGGGAAGATGTGGACTGTGAACTGTTGCTGGATTTTACCCGTCTTTGTTTTAAACTAAAACTTTGGCCAAGAAGATAGGAGACAATATTAAGGGAAGGCCTCGGCCTCTCTGCCCTGTTGCTGGCCCTCCAGAGGAACTGGCTGGCCCCTGTGTGAGACGGGAGGCTGGACTAGAGGGACCCTCCCTGGTCTGACCCAGCAGGGCTCTTCTGAGGTTCTTCTCAGGGGAAGGCCTCGGCCTCTCTGCCCTGTTGTTGGCCCTCCAGAGGAACTGGCTGGCCCCTGTGTGAGATGGGAGGCTGGACTAGAGGGACCCTCCCTGGTCTAATCCAGCAGGGCCACCACCCCAATATAGGGGGCAGTGGCAGGGCTCTTCTGATATTCATATGAGGGCCTCGGCCGCTCTGCCCTGTTGTTAGCCCTCCAGAGGAACTGGCTGGCCACTGTGTGAGACAGGAGGCTGGACTAGAGGGACTCTTTCTGGTTTGATCCAGCAGGGCTCCTTCTGAGGTTCCTCCGTTCTTACAATAATTCGGATGATGTACAAGGAACGAAAAAATGGGTGTCGGTCAACGAGACCGAGACAGCTGCAAGCAAGAGAGAACAGGGGAAGAGCTCCAGTTTGGTTTCTGGAGAGGCCCGAGGGTGGAGAAGGAAGGATTTGGTGGCCTGGCTTGTTGTGAGTTGCCTTTTTTGGAGTGGCTGGGGATCGCTCGAATGCAGATCTTTGACGATCGCTCTTCTACGTGTGCTTGACAGAGACCCAGACGCTTTCGTGAGACGTTAGTGGAAAGAAAAAGGTTTTGCGTGGAGGTCTGAAGAAAGGGCTAAGGCGCTGGGGTCCTGAGAGGAGTTGGTGGGGGGGGTTTGAGCGCTTCAGCTGAGCCTGGAGGGACCAGGACACGTGTTTTGGGGGGCAATTTCTTTCCCGCCCTCTTCTGCTGCGGTACAGGGAATACTAAGCGTGAGACCACTGCTGGCGAGCCGAGGGAGAAGGCAGGCACCACCCTTATTAGCCAATGTCTTTTCTCATTTTTTTTTTGTTTTGTCTTTTTTGTAATATTAAATATCTGTGGGGGGTCCACTGAAATCTGCTGCTGGTTGGCCTTTCCTGGGAACCAAACGAATCGGCATTCTGGCGGCAAACGGGCTCCCACCAAGACAGGTGAGAGCAGCAGATGGCGAATGGCTTTTCGGGGAGAAACTGAGCAACCATTGACTACCCGGAGACTTGGGGGGGAAGGGGGGAGTTAACTGAGGATATGCGTGTCTAAAGGCTGGGTCATCCAGGTCAAGGCAAAAGACATCCACGGGTGTTTTACCATTGCCTGCCTCTGCATAGCAACCCTGGGCTTCCTTTAGGGTCTCCCACCCAATTACTAACCAGGGCCAATCCATCTTAGCTTCCGAGATCTCATGAAATTGGGCTAGCCTGGGCCATCCAGGTCAGGGCAGAAAGACATAACAGAGGTGGCTTGCCATTGCCTGCCTCTGCGTAGCAACCTTGGACTTCCTTGGTGGTCTCCCATTCAGGTACTAGCACAGACCGATCCTGTTTAGCTTCCAAGATCTCATGAAACTGGGCTAGCCTGCGCCATCCAGGTCAGGGCAAAAAGACATACAGAGGTGGTCGGCCGTTGCCTGCCTCTGCGTAGCAACCCTGGACTTCCTTGGTGGTCTCCCATTCAAGTAGTAACCAGGACCAACCCTGCTTACCTTCTGAGATCTCATGAAACGTGGCTAGCCTGGGTCATCCAGGTCAAGGCAAAAGACATCCACGGGTGTTTTACCATTGCCTGCCTCTGCATAGCAACCCTGGGCTTCCTTTAGGGTCTCCCACCCAATCACAAACCAGGGCCAGTCCAGCTTAGCTTCTGCGATCTGGCGATTGGGCTAGCTTGGACCGTCCAAATCCGGGCAAATGAGGGTAGTCCTGTCCAGGATCCGAGCCGTGCTGTGAATTTGGGAAAGGTCCAGTTTTTCGGGAGGGGCAGCCGTTCTGGTGTGGGAGGGGGATCTCTGTGCATGTCGCTTCAGTTTCGGTCAGCGCAGCCACACAGATTCCTCCGCTACAGCCTCCCCCCAACTGGGAAGTCATCACAGCTAGAGAGTTGGGGGGAAATGAATCCCATGAGGAAAAGCGGAAGGAACGCAGCGTATTTATCTGGAGGCATTATTAGAAGACATCATTCAAAATAAAAGAACAAGAAAGGACGAATCAGCCTGGAAAGGACATTGGGGTGGGGGGCAGTGATTGCATTGTCCAACTGCCTGGAGGGCTGCCCCCTGGAGAAGGGGCAAAGACTCGTTCCCTGCTTCCCCAGAGGGCAAGAGTGAAACTAACAGCCTCACGGATGCCAGCCTCCAGGTGGGACCTGGGGATTCCACAGTCAACATGAAAAGATTTTTTTTAAAAAAAAACCTGTGCAAAAAGACGCTAAGAAAAAATATAGAACAAGTCACAGATGAGTAACACAAGTATAACTGAGAGTAATACAACCAGGGGTCATTTTGTAGAAAAAGAGGTGCAGGAGCTCATTAGCATAACTCATTAGCATAATTTATTTGCATAGGCCACACCCCCTGAACTCACCGGAAGTGTGTCAAAAGGCAACACCCACCGCTCAGGCTCCCCTGGACTGTTTTGGATGGCTAGCTATCGGGGGGGGGGGGAAATGCAGATCTGCCCTCGCAGAGGAGGGAGAGCTTGTACCTGAATAAGACTTGGTCTTAAAGGTACCACTGGACTGTTTTGGATTGCTAGCTATTGGGGGGGGGACGTGCAGATCTGCCCTCACGGAGGAAGGAGAGCTTGTACCTGAATAAAACTTGGCCTTAAAGGTGCCACTGGACTGTTTTGGCCCGGGGGGAGCTCTGCAACTTACCTAGCTGCTGCTTGCTCTGACTGAGGGCTGCTGGGAGCAGGGGGTGGGGCTTGTTGCATGTGCCCGCCCCCTGGGCTCTTTACTGCCGGAGCTCTGCTCCTGTGCGCTCCTGCAGGAAATGACCCCTGAATACAACTAAGAATACCACTTAAGTAGTATTTACACAAATTCAACTGGTAAATCCTAAATTTTTTCAGAAGTCCAACAGGTCAGTTATCAACAATCCAACAGGTAAGTCTACAAGTTCTCAGTAATACAACAGGTGGAGTGTTTACAAAAAATCCCACAGGTGAAACCAATATTTATACAGGTAAGTTTTCAACAGCCCAACTGGTCAGTAGACCGTATTTGAAATCCAACAGGTAAGTCTACACTGGATGACGAAGACTCCAGGTTTCATAACTTCGTTTTGAATATCCTTCCTCAGTAGAGACTAAATGTAGACAGCGTATTAGTAACCTTGTACATCACAACAGTTAACAAGACTCAAGAAAATCAATAGTTACCCGATTAGGGAACTCTTAAAGGACTCGTCAATGTTTCCAAAGTAAACAACAGCAGCAAAACCACCTTCCTATATGGAACACATGCACATTTCGATCGCATAATGATAGTGATATAAATAAAAATGCTCAAGAGGAAGAAAGTATAACACTCACCAGTTTATCAGGAGAAATATATTAATTGGGCAGCCAGTCAATATTCAATGAAGAAGAGATTGGGTTTATACCCCGCCCTTCCCCTCCCCACAACAGACACCCTGTGAGGTATGCAGGGCTGAGAGAGCTCAGAGAAACCTCTTTTTCAAGGACAGCTCTGACAGAATTACGGCTTGCCCAAGGTCATCCAGCAGCTGCAAGTGGAGGAGTGGGGAATCAAACCCGGTTCTCCCAGATTAGAGTCCGCGCACTTCACCACTGCACCAAACTGGCTCCAAACGAGGAAAAACCTTCGAAGTCTTATGTTGCTGGTATGCCTCTAAGAGGCTACAATAGTCAAACTGATTTATATACCACTAGGAGTAAGGCCTGTTGTGGGAAGAAATACAACGATCTCTAGAAGGAAGCTCCAGGTGAGTGTCCCGGCTGTGGCTGGTGAGGTGGCAGAGGGAAGGAAAATAGAGGGAGGCAAGCCATTTATATTTCCTTCTGCTTAGCTATAAGACAGGGCTGTCTCCAGTCATTTTGCTGCCACAAGTGGGTAGTATGGAAGGCGAGCCTCATGGTAACAGGTATGGTTCCCTCCACCCCTGACTTAATGTTGATTTGCCACATGACGGAGTGAGCTCCTGTCTGGTCCCAGCTCCTGCCAACCCAGCTGATCGAACGCAAGAAACTGCAAGTAGATAAATCGGCACCACTTCAGTGGGAAGGTAATAGCGTTCCGTGCACCTCGGCGTCTAGTCATGCCGGCCACATGACCACGGAAATGTCTTTGGACAGCGCTGGCTCTTCGGCTTGGAAACGGAGATGAGCACCCCATCCCTAGAGTCGGATTCGACTGGCTTTCGAGCAAGGGAAACCTTTACCTAGTTGCAGCTAAGGTAGAAAAGTACCTCCTCCTATGCCATGTCTTCTGGGTTCCAAGAGTCTGGAAAACAGTTCCATAGCCAGTTACGGGGTTGCGAACTCTGGGTTGGGATATACCTGTAGATTTGAGGGGTAGAGCCTGGAGTGGGGAGGGACCTCAGCAGGGTATAATGCCATAAGGTCTACTGGCCAAAGCAGGCATTGTCTCCAGGAGAACGGAACTTGGTCATCTGGACATCAGTTGTAATAGCTGGGAAACTTTCAGTAGGGGAAATTATGTGCTGTGGCTGGGGAGATCTCCAGGCCCCATAGGGAGATTGGGATATGTATTTTACCTCAGGACTCCCAACAGCAACAGCAGACTATTTAGAATGTTAGAGGCAAAGGCCAATCAGGCCAAATATGCAAATGACCTCTGTGTTCTGACTGGCTGGGGGGGGGAGGAGGAACAGCAAACTGTTTAGAATGTTGGAGGCGGGACTCAAGCAACGCAGCCAGTGGATAGGGAGACCCTCTGAATGACAGGT